GAAAATAGCTTTATAGCATAAGCATATGGCCAAAGCCTTTAGGGGCATTTTTACCGGCTATAGTGGTTCTAGATACCGAATTTGGAACCCGTATAAGCGGATATTCGTTATTTCCAATTATTATATTATTAAAGAATACATTAAGGGAGTTTTACTCCTAAACCTAGTATCCTAGCTATACAGAAGACTAGTAGGAACTACTATAGAATCTGACGATGGTTCCACCGATAATTCGGATAACCCCGATACAGATTACGGAGATACTATTATTATTGATACTGGAAATTAATAGCTTAATAATCCATTAGAAAACGATAGAGAAAATCACTCCAATACTAAAGGGGGTACTACTGAAAACGCGTCACGTAACGCAATTAGGGGTACTCCTGACCTAAGCGAGCCCCCTGAGCCCCTATTTGAGAATAACCAAGAACCTGTAGTACCCACAGGTGCTTCTGAACAGGGTTCTATAAATTAGGAGGCGCCCAAAATAGTTAGTTTTAGGGATAAACTACTCCCTAGACGTCTGAAATCGACTAGAATTACCGGGGAAATAGTAGATTACCGAGCTTTAATAGTTAGTAACCAGAATACAGAAGCTTCCAAAATTCTATTATTAATTAAAGGAGCTTTCTCTAGTCCAGATACCTATCTTTGGAGACCTTTGATTAAGAAGGAACTAGACTTCCATTTACGGAATCATACCTGGAATCTAGTGGTATGAAAATACTAAAAAACTATCGGATGCCGCTAGATCTTCAAAATCAAGTCTAATGGACGCTATAAATCTAGGCTTATAGTATAAGGCTATACGCAAGAATATGGCGTAGATTACTTTGAAACGTTTGCACTAGTTACTAGGCTTTCTACCATTCGAATTATATTAGCCCTAGCGGCTAAATATGGGCTATATATCTAATAAATAGATATTTAGATAGCGTTCCTATATAGAGAATTGGAAGAAGAGTACTATATGGAATAATCTCCTGGTTTTACTAAAGGAATAAACCTTATTTACTGCTTACGGAAGAGCATTTATGGCCTGAAACAAGCCCCTAGGGTTTGGTATTAGGTAATCGATCGTTTTTTCTACTCTATTAGGTTCCAGTGATCACTTAGTAATCTAGCGCTCTATATCCACCGGAAACACGAGGTTAATTAGCTACTAATTCTAATTACTATTTACGTGAATAACATAATTATTATAGGAAAAAATATGAACCATATTAACAGAATCAAAGCTTAATTATATTAGAAGTTTGATATAACTAATATGGGAGAAATCAAAACGCTTCTGGGTATGGAAATCGTACGTTTGCGGGACGGTTCGGTGTTTTTATACCAAAATCGATATCTTATAGACATGCTCCTAAGATATTAAATGGAAGGTTACATGCCCATTACTACTCTAATGGCCGAACCTATGGCATCTAATAGAATTGATATTAATATTACTAAATATTAAAGTCGAACTGGATTACTTATATGGCCATTATTAGCTTTACGACCCGATTTCTGCTTTGCCGCAGGGTACTTAGGACGTTCTAATTCGTGTCCTAAAGCATTGCATGGTACCGTACAGAAGCGTATAATGTAATATATTAAGGGGTTACCTGATATGGGCATTCTATATAATACTTTGTCTAATAAAGGGCTTATAGGGTACTCAGATACCGATTATGGAGGCGATTTATAGGATCGCAAATTAACCTCCGGCATGGTTTTTACCCTATTTGGTGGTTCTATTAGCTGGGCTAGTACCAAGCAAAAAACTGTCGCTATAGCCACTATTATAGCTGAATATATCGCCCTGACGCCGGTAATCAAAGAAGCTTTATGGCTAAAGTAACTGTTTAAGGAAATATCGATTCCTATAGGCTTAATCGAGGTAAAAACGGACGCTCAGGGAGCTATGGATCTAGCTACGAATGCCCGATTTTCGCAAAAAACCAAGCATATTAATATTAGACACCATTTTATTAGGGACCACATTAATACCAAGGAAATCGATCTCAAGTACGTTCCTACGGGGGAAATAACGGCCGATATTCTCACCAAACCACTCCCTAGACCGGCTTTTGAACTGCTACGATCGAAATTGGGGCTTATTAGCCTTACTGACATCGAACCTCGACTATAAGGAGGAGGCGTGTTAAAATTAGTACGCTACCATAGCTAGCTCACTAGTCCTTCCAGCACCAGGTTTAACCACTAATTTAGGGTTCTCCACTCTCATTTGTCATGCGTCACTCGCTGAGCTTACCAAGCTTACTAGTATATCGTCATTTTGATTACTTTTGATTTATTAGCTGATTAATAATGTATTGGAGAAAGCGGGCTCGGTATTACCGGTATCGCCGAAGGGTAATGGGAATAAATCCCTTACTTTAGACACTTTTCCTCTGTTTTTACACTTCACTCTCCTGTATCTAGTCATTCTACAGATTATTAACCTCTAATATATTAATTTTCCATTAATAAATCGATTACTTTCCAATACAAGTATCTATTGACGAACGGTATGGGAAACCCTCTAATATAGAGGATGATTCTAATGAATCAGATATTGAACAAAGCAATGAAGTAGAGCTTGAAGATTCGACTTTCTTTTGAGCTCAGCAAAAGCTTATTATTAGTGGTAATAAGACGATTATTTTGGAGAAGCCTATATTCGCATAGCGAGAGCAAAGACTTACAGAACAGACTAGTAAGTTTCTTATTTTTATATTATAATATAAGTATACTAATATTATTTCTAGCTTCCAGAGGCTCCTATATCTCCAAAATAATAAAGGAATTAGCAAAGCCATTGAGAACTCAATAAAGACATATATATGATTAGAGGGCAAAAGATACTCAAGTTACAGAGTAATCTAGTAGGCTTAAGACCCCTATAATTGTACCACCTCTTAAATAAAAGAAGCTATAATTCGGTATTGTCAGGAGGCTAATTAATATCCCTAGGGATATGCAATTAAGGGAAGAGCAAAGGCTTGAAGATAAAGACGATAAAACCAACGAGCTACTTTTGGATGCCCTTATTGGAAACGCTTGCGGAGATAACGAAGCTCTAGACGTACGAATGACTTACCAAGAAGTCCTTGACGATATGGATATTAAGCTAGCTCAAACCAAAGAGCTATATACTTCACGTATAATCGCTGACTTATACTTACTCCGGCAATATAGCTAATAGCTTCTAAAGCTAGGGCAATATCGACTTAGAAGGGTTAATGCATCACTCTTAGTAGCTTCCAGTAATTATTGCTTTAATAATGGAAAGACACTAGCTCGGCAAATTAAGGGGCTATTTAATTACTATCGATAGTAGCATGGCATTCTACAGGAAACTAGGGGTGGTAAAAGAGCTAGTGCCTCCTATCTGGACAACGAGGATATTTTTTTAGCTTGCCGTACTTGGTTGATTAATCAAGAGCTTGGAACGATATCTAAAAAGGTAATGGACGAATGGGATAATATGCAAAAGTAAGGGAAAGAAGGTAGCTAAGTAATAAGTAAGGTTTATGGATTTAGTTCGGCCAAAAGTTAGCTTGAAACCCATATAATTAGGGCCCTACCATATATATAATATATATAATACCAGAAAAAGCTATATTTAGTATTTAGGAAGGTTTACTTAAGCTTATAGGGCTTAATTATTATTATTATATTAATAATAAGGCTGGTGAGATGCCGCGATCTCCCCCTGAAGTTGGGGATCACGTGACCTTAGCGAGCAAATATATTTGTTGAACTAGCTAAAGCAATATAGCTAGGGTCACGTGCTTGCAATGTAAACCAAGTAAAACGTACTGAATTGACTGCTGTTCTACAGTGGTAAGTAGCCCGTATATATAGCCCTGAACCCCCTAAGTCACATGTACTAAACCCCTAAACCAGATGTACACTGAATTCCAGCTATACAGGGTATTCCAGCCGTACATGGTATTCCAGCTATACAGGGTATTCCAGCCGTACAGGGTATTCCAGCTATGCACAGTCCCATGGCAGTTCAGGGTATTCCAGCCGTACAGGGTATTCCAGCTATACAGGGTATTCCAGCTGGACAGGGTATTAAGCTAGTGCACAGCCCCATGGCGTTCGGTTCCAGGGCTTACTAAGCCTATTAGGGGCCTCAGGCCCCTAATTTCAACAATATTGGCGTTTTGTATGAGGAAAAATCAAAAAAGTAAAAAGGGTCCGTGCACTTTGAACCTCGATTATTAATGAACCACAAATTATATTAAAAATCTGATTAATAGGTATTTTTTGCCTGGTTCTACTCTATAATCATATTACTTAGTATACATTAAATGGGGTTGTGGTTAAAAGGTTATTATGGGCGTAAAAGAGCGACCGTTTTGTCGCTTTTGGATCGGACCGACTGTACTACTAGATTTCCTGCTTTAGCTTTAATAGCTAGGAAATATTTAGGAATTTTAGCTTTCTTGGCTTATAGCAAGAGATTCTTCTCTCAAAGTACTCTTATTATAACTAAATTACGTAATAGACTTAATAAGAATACTTTTGAAAGAATAGCTTGCTTAAAAAGTTAGGGATTATTTAAAGACGAATTAGAAGAGGCTAAAAAAGAAGAGAAAAAGAGAGAGAATAAGGAGAAAAAACAAGATTTTAAGGAAGATAATTAATTTATTATTATAGAAAATTAGTACTTAAGTAGCCTTATATAAGTACTAGCTTAGCTTATATAAGGCTACTTAATAGATACCTTAGTTCTTTTTTAAAAATTTAAATATATGTCAATTTACTGGAATCACGTGATTTGCACGTAACTATTCATAAATATTCATGAATATATATTCTACTCTACTCAAATTTTTTGAGTTTTACGCTACTCATATTCTATTTAAGACTACTCATGAATATTCATGAATAGTATGAATACCTTAAGTATTTCTTGCTCACACTGTATGCCGACTAGTGCATCTTGTGTTCGAAACACAGCCTCTCAGTTGGTATTGATTTGCACCATGCAGATGTGACGAAGGATTGCAGTCCGAGGTTTTGAAGGCAGCCTTTGTATAAGTTCCCGTGTCTCCCCTCCATCTCCTCACTTCTTCACCAAGCCTCCTTCACTCCTACCTCCTCAGTCACTCTGCTCTACCAAATTCCACTTCCTTAACCATTATTTCCGTTTATCTTCCTCCAAACCTTACGCACCAAGAACCCTCCAGGTGTTCTATATTGCTTCGTTGAGCTGGTCTGTTCCGTATCCTGCAAATGCTTCTTGAAGCCTAATCTGTTTTCGTTAGCAGCGTCTACTCCTTCCGCTGGCCCTTCGATGTCATGGGATCGGGATCCTCTCGCCTTGAAACTAGGTGGTGGGAAGCAGAAGCCCAGCGAAAGATAGCGACCACTAAAAGTACGAGTAGAGTGGAAGTGATCTGCTCGCTCATTCCCGGTATGGATGAAACCACCGTGAAGGGCTACTTGAAGGCGCGGTCGGATCTTGATGTGCTATTCGAGCTCAATTGCAGATCTCAGAACCCATCCAGAGAGCAACATGCCGACCACTCAAACCTGACAGCTGACTCCAAGGTCAATGAACTCTGGCGGATACTCCGAATGCCACTCGGATATGGTAAGCCTCTATGGAACTGGAATTGGCGAGTACCACTCGAAGGGATCCCTTCCGAAATTGCGGCCGAATTCCATGCAGCCGTGTGTCAAGCGATCTTCCGAATCCCCCTCTCTGACTTCGTGGACTGTGCCCTCGGATATAATACAAAAGCGGAGTCTCTCGACAAGCTATTTGTTGCTGTATGCAAAGTACGCCACAGCCTTCGAACGGAATATGAGCGTCACCCTGGGACAATGGACACTTATGTTGAGGTCGAGAAAGTGAGTAGACATGAATCCGCCGAGATGAAGTACTAACGAGGGTAGGTACTAGAGCAGCAACACCATCCGCTGGAGCACTGGATTGTTGCCAGCAGCCTGCAGCTCTCGTAAATCGCCCCGTACGACACTTTGGCCCCGAACCTAGAGCCAATCCGAAGAATCTTCGCAACGCGTGACTTTGATCTCGTGCTCACGCGACTTGCGGCTCTAGATCGGCGGTTTGCGCACGGCAGTCGCCTGTACAATTGGCAGAAGTGGTCGACAGACCTCGACTTCTGGCAGTGCGTCGATGGTGCACTATGGTCAGGGATAACCACTCCGTTCGTGTCGCCGCACTTGTCAAGTGAGGATCGAGACGAGAGACTGCGTTTTCTTGAGGGATTTGAGACGGGTGCTGAGGATAGGGTGCGCAGTGGTTGGAGTAAAGTGGTGTTCTCAATGAAGAGGTTGATAAGTCGAGATTCGCAGTACAGAGTCAAGAAAGGCTTGCTGATGTCCATGGGCCTGCTGAAGGATAGCCATAAGAGATCCTGACTTTGGGCGCAATTTCGTAGGACGTTTTGAGAAGTGTTGAATTTGGATGTCAATAAGGATGGAGATCGACCGCTCTTAATCCGTGATCAGAGCAGGAACTGTATGTATATATCAGTCAGTTGTGTGTTTCTAAACCGTGTTCAGAATATTGACCTTTGAGATTATTGTCTCGCCTAAATTCTCTTAGCCAGACGCAGCCCCTCTTCCTCCGTTTCGACATAGGCCACCGTCGTCGCCGCTTGTGGTAGGCATCTCGTTGCATTGTGCGCCTTTCGGTGACGGTTTCCCGGTCATGCAAGTACTTGTATCGAGAATCGAGTAACTGGTATTGCTCCTGCCATGTCAATTGACCACTCCACTTTCTTCCGCCAACATTTTCCAGGCCAAGTGGGCGCCATGGAAACAGCTTCTTTGTATGTGTGCGCGCCTTGAGATGTTTCCGGACTTCAGGCGTGATACAACCGTGTGAACCACGAATTGTCAGGTAAGGAAGGTTACAGATCTTTATAAGGCTCTATATTCCCCGATCGTCGACGGATGATATCGCGCCTGAGTAAGGGATACAGAGTCGAGGGCGCGCAACTCGGGCGTAAAGGCAGACATCTGATTCACTGGTGCCGATCTGCACACACAGTATCCGGGTGGTACGAGGAGCTGTATGCATTGGATGGCAGGAGTCTTGTGAAATGGCAGTGACATTCCGAAGTCAAGAGCTTGCAGGTCAGAAAGAGCCTCCTTCTAGCCTGATAGCATATATAACTTGAGAGTATTCCCGCTTGAAGATGATTTGTTTCCACAGACAAACATGAACTTTACCAAAACACCTTTCAAGCTACTTGTACGTTCACTCCTTCTTGAGATCCAGAACTTACAAGCCATAGCCTCGCATTACGCAGATCAGCTTACAATCTCCCGCCTACTTCAGTGTCTGAATTCCCTCGGGTGAGAAGGCAACACATGCATTATTCATATCATGATACATACTTACAAGTCCTAATACAGCTTTACATTGCAAGATGGCCTATACTCCGAACACCCAAGAACAGCAAGATGAGATTGTCGAGCGAGCCGAGAATAACGGTACCACGTCTAACGCTACTGCCAAAGACTTCGTTAAGAAGGATGCCCGGGGAGCGCCTTTTGGTCATACCGAACTCAACGAAGGGACCGGTCGCGTTCAGTCTGGGGGAACTATCGCCGGTAACAGGGTCGACGAGCTCGAACATGGCGATGATGACAGGGAAGAGGTAGATAATCAGTTGTAAATTATCTTCACTGGTGTTTGAGAACAGGAGACATGGGACCATAGGTTCAGGAGAGCATCAAATTGAGAATTTATGATGAAGTGAACGGCTCATACAATATCTATCTACTTAACCTTTCCACCAACGATTATCCATACCTTGATGCCCTTCACTCAGGCGAAAGAATTCCGGGCACCCTTTTTCCAACTTCTGTCTTCTGCGTCTCAATTTGATATAGAATCACTTGAAAATATGTTATGTCCCTTCCACCCCCTTCAAGTACACAGATATCGGATGCAGCGAAGGTAGTAAACAAAGCTTTGCTTAGCTCTAACCTTTCGAAATGCCCCAGTTCATAGCAACTTGAGGAATAGTGCTTGGAATTGATATCCAATCAGCTCCGTCCCTACTCGCAAAACGAATCTTGGAGGCGGCTGCAGGGATACGCTCATCGCTAATATTGGAAGCGCGCATCAATTGTACGAGCCTATTTAAAAACTCAAAAAATAATAAGTGCAATACCACACTAGGTATTTTCTATACTTCGTTCCCATATCCATATCTTGAAAGCATTTATTTAGAAGGCGGAAAAGACTGTAGCTCTGGAAACGCACCGGCAAGCGAACCCACCGACCCGAGAATATCGAAAATCACCGGTCACAGCTATTTTACAAATCTGCCCAAGACTGACTAAAAATTAACAGCTCCATAGAAATTAGTAGCTTCAGCTGGTAGGCTTTCTCTTTGACAGCCCTGCAAATGAGTCACTTTGCGCTCACTGGTCTGAGATTCTCGAGTTGAGAACTTTCGAAATCACCGGTTACCGCAATGTGAACTTGACTTGAAAGAAGCCCAACATCATGGCCCAATCCTGACCCTATGCGGTCAATAGCTCTGAGCATCTTGAGCAGGCTAGCTGGCTATGTGAAATTATGTGGTGGAGGAAATGGTGAGAACTGACCGGTTCAAGCTTCCGAAGTGAGGCTATTCTGATATCTACCAGTCAGAGCTAAACATTGACATAAACAAGAGCAGCTCGGGCATAGCATAGAAGTCTGGGAGCTTCAAAAATGGCCGGTTATGCTGATATATAATGAGCTGGTCTGGATCATTGATGGAGTGTAGAAACAGAACACCGCAATCTTCTGAGAGTCTTGAATCCTACGACTTTACTTTTCCTCCGTTGCCGACTCAAAAACAGGGACGTTTCAGAAAAATCTTCCGTTTCCGCAATGGAATGTTTCAAGGCTGTTGTTGGCAGTGTTGATGGGAGCTATTCATGGGCAAAGCACGTTGAGACTTTCAAGCCGAGTAAGTTACGCAGGAACATCTCCCCCAATGTGAGAAGCGAGACTAATTTGAAGCGAAAGTCAACCCCAACAATCTGAATCTCAAATTCACAGGTCGTGATATCTATGAGTCTCTCTGGAATGACCTTATGGCCTTTGAATCCCCCGAAATTGTGAAGTTTATCCAATGTCCTCAAACGGATTCACTACTAACGGATCAACTTAGGGAGATAAGCCTTTGGAAATTACACACTCAAGCAACTTTCAGGAAGCGACTCACGTGGTAGTAGATTGTAGTGGTAGCAACAAGGCCAATCCCATGGGAAGGATTGTCTGGGTTTGGTTCTGCTGTCAATGCGGACATGGCGGGATGACTACCTTTGTTGATGGTTGTCCCGAGTGCTCGCATCAGCGATGTGGGAGTTGTACTTTGGAAGCTGTTTAGTGTTTGTTCTGGACAAGATTGGAGGGATGGAGGAAGAGGTGGATTTCTTTGATATGTTTTTGTTTTGGACAAGGTTGGAGGGATGAAGGCGGGAGGTTGTTGGGTTTCTTTGTTTTGTTTTTGTATGGTACGCGAGGAAGTGGACACGGCAGTTGGGCTATTGGGTCATGGCAGAAGATTGGGATTGCAAGAGAACTTTCATAGTTATTAATAATTGTTAAGCGAAAGCTCCGCGATTTCCTAGCTACTTTTACAGTAAAATTCCAGATAATTTGCTGTAATGAACTCCGCCTCTTTATTTCTTGGCTTCTGTGTGAACCTGCCTTAAGATACACCCCCTGGCTGCACTTCAATAACCAGAAAATCATCATGCTGACCAGAATTGGCAGACCAAGTCTTGATAGCGACATCATACCCAGCTGCAAGTATCAACCTCTCATAGTCCGCATACGTGCGATGGAACCCCCCAAACATACTCATCACCATGAGTTCTGACATCGCGGTGCTCAAGCTGACATTCTCAAGTGGCTTCACTGATTCAATGATCAATATTCTTCCTGACTTTCCCAAAGCTTCGAGTACATTTGACAGGATCCGGATGCATTCTATGTCGCCCCAATCATGAAGTACCTGTTTGAGCAAGAACACGAGATTGTCCTGATTTCCGTCCATGACTTCGCCATAGGACTTGAACATATCATGAGCCTGGTATTTGATAGAATGGTGGAGATGAGCAGGGCATTGGCGTTCCCCCTCATCAGTCACACTTGAATAATCTAAAACGAGGAACTTCTGTTCCGGTAGACGATCTGCGAGGAAGATGGCCGTCTGGCCTAGGCCCCCAGCAACATCAACAATCAGATCAGACGCTGCGAGTTGCTGGACAGAATACGAGGCATCGAAGAATCGAAGGCTTGCTTCCGCTACCTGGAACATGGCACGAGAGAATCTCAATCCTTTCTTAATGTCTTGGGAAGCACAAAAGTGATAAAAGTCTAGGTCGTTATGGAAGTAGTCGTTGAAGGCTGTGTGGCCTGGGCTTGGCGTTTTGTAGGCGGTTTTCTGGAGGAATGATGGGAGTGTGGAACAGCTTTTGAAGCTTTCGTCCAGACTACATTATATGATTATTAGATAATTACAAAGTGTATTCTGTTCTCATGGCGACCTACACAGAAGAAATCAAGTCATTGAAAGACGGCTTCAGGAGTGTGATCGAGAGAGCAGAGTGACTCCACTGTGATTGACCGAGCTGTTTGAAGATCCCCTTCTTGCTCAACAAATTCAAAACCATAGCTGTCGTAAGTTCGAAGTCAGCAGAAGCTATTCAATAAGATGTTTCTAGATCATACTAAGTACAGTCTTGTCAACCCCAGTTCTCTCCAAGAGAGTCGAATAATCCACGGCACTTCCATCCTCCGGGAAATATTGGATAAGGTTCAAATCCAAGCAGATTTCCAAGGCGACAGAAGCTGTATACTAGATTTTGCACGAAGTCAGTCGGTCAGCCTGGAAAATGTGCAGAGTTGTGAGTTTTTACCCCACGCGCAATATTCTTGACTAATTGAACAGGGTCAGAAGTCATAGCAAGAATCTCTTCTGCTGTTGACATGAAACGCTTTTGGACTTCATATGCATCTGTACTACCAACCTGGCCTTGCTTCAAAGCATTCAAATTGCCCTGCATGCTCTCAAGAAGCGTGGAAAGAGTATCTAGATTCCATGAAGCCATGGTTTCTGTGTTGCGATAGCCGAAATTCGACACTCGCCAAACAGGGAAGCAATAAAAGGGACAGTCAATTAATGAAGCCGTCTAGTACCAGACAGTAGAGTAGATGCCGATAAAACAGCTGATCTGATCCGATGTACTCACCATTTCTGGGATTGGTCAATAAAATCACGGAAATGGCCATTCCGTGAGGGATGGCCGAGGACGGCCAAGAATGGATGCATGGCCCCACCCTGACCGGTCAGTTCTCAAGAAATCCGTTCACCCCAGCAAACTTGCCAGGCGGATTCACCAGAGGGCTGCCGCTGCCAGGGCTGCTTCTTGGCCTCGCCTTGGAAATCACTGATCACTTGAGAGCTATTCACGGTTTTGTTTCCACAAATAATTCATTCACACACCACGAGGTGGATTTGTCCTCCTTTGGCATCCGTCGTCCTACTTGAATACCTCCTTCTCCGAAGTCGGCAACATCACGTTAACAAACTTCATCATGTGGCAAAATGAGGAAGCAAATAACGAGCTGATCAGCCCCAGTTGAACTTCGAAAACTGGGACTTTGGTTTAGACGATGCTACTTGGAGCTCATGGAATCAATGGAATCAGTCAAACAGTCAAGCAAGTTTCTCGGGCAATACTCGACCTCTTGGATCTCAAGGTTCATTTCCCTACCCCCATGTACATGCCAGTACCGCCGCCGTCTACAAAACACCGGATCCTGATTTGGAAGAACCCAGCTTCAGCGGCTACATGGACTCAATATGGGGACTTGAGCGAGGGATCTCGACTGGAGATCAGCACGAGAATAATTTTGGTCACCCGGAGGCCGATGTGGAAACTGTGGATCAGCTGGATGACAGGCATAAAGGTGTTGAGATGTCTACGAGACGTGAAGTCACAGAAGGGAACGTCGACTTATACACCTGGCCAGGTGGCCATGACATGTTTCAGGTCGAAGATGATAAGTTGCAAGAGATCCAAGGCATGCCTATGGCGATTTCTGGAAGAACATCAGGCGTTGCAAGCGTTACACCTGAAAGACGCAGTGGGACAAATGAAAACATGAGTTCCGAGGAAGAAACCCTGTTGACCAAGCACACGCTACCAGGTGAGCTCCCGCATCAACATCCAGCGTTCAAACTGTCCCCGCTTCATCACTTCACATAATTTGGAGCAATATACTGATGCTTTTCTTTCCCAAAGGTGATCCTGGACTTGTTTCATGGAACCATATTGATGATGAAGTCCTGTTACAGTGGCTAGATGATGCAGCTGGGTTGTTGTCGAATAACATCCGCAACGATGAGAGCGCTCATCAGAGCGGAACGTCTTCCAGTACGTCGGCCATTATAAGGACACCTTCACATAGCACCAATTCATCGAGAGATGCGCGGCGGTCAAGTAATAATGGACTTACAACTTCTAAAGTCCTCCCTGGGCCCCCTCAAGATGCTGAATATGCCAATCTTGACGAGCCGTCTATAGCGTTTGGTGGAGATTCAGTACCCGTGGATGAGAAGCCGAATTCCTCCAAGCGCCGATACAATGCCGAAGAGCTAGAGAAGGTCAATAGCGTCAGGGCCAGCTCAGCATGCACTAGGTGTCAAGTCATGAAGGAAGCAGTAAGTCATTCTATGACTTGGAAATGTGCACTGTTGACCAAATCTCCTCAGTGCAGCGAAGATTCGACACCCGGTCCGTGTAGACGGTGCCAGGCCATAGAATCAAGCAGCAGGATATGGAAGACGCCATGCTTTCGAGGTCAATTAACAGCGGCCGAACTCTTCAGAACCGGTAAGTGCGTTGCTTCGCTAATTACTTCCACCGGCAACGCTCATGTCAACAGTTTCTCTGAACTTCCCTTTCGGATCAAAAAAAATCACACAGTGGCATGGAAAAGACCGTCGCCAAGTCGACTTATTCTATCCGCTGTCGAACGCGAAGGATCATGCATATGTACCACATCTCACTGTCAAGTGTCGCAGGTTTCGTCCTGGCTTTGGCGACGTCGTTACAAAGTCATACCCTACCCCGCAAGGACCGCGCATTCTCGACCTACCCCCCTTCTCTCTGATCGATCTACCTGCCATTCGCAATACCATGGCCCAATTTGTAGCTCATAACCTTGAGACCTTCGTCAATGAGCTCAAAGTTGGCGCTGTTGGAAAGTACTTCAGCGCCACATTTGACGAGATCATGCGATTAAGCAAGAGCGTAAGAATAATTTGCATCCCTATTGTCATGAAAGTGTTAATGATATCTAGAGCAACATGCTATTAACGTCTTTACATATCGCCTGTATGACCAGAATGCAATCGAGGAGCTTCGGTATTCGTGGCGAGGAAGACCTTGGCATCGAACTCGAGACCAGTCCACACTCCCCATATGTGGGCCGAAAGCCGATACCTGTCATGATCGATAGAGAAATGGACTTGATCTGGCGGTTCTTCGTGGAAAAGAAGCGGAAGATGGTTCTCTCGGAGCTGAAACGAAAGATCATGGCAAGAAAGCGGGTACATTGGCTTGAGATATACTTGACTGTGTTCGTCTTGATGACCAACCTTGAATTTTGTTACCAACACCAGGTGACAAAATTAAAACGACACCAAGCTGCTGCAGTAAGTACATTCAATACTACAAGTCAATTTTGCGACATAACTGACGGAACATAGCGGCCGGGAGAAGTCGTTGCATCTGCCCCTTCATTATCGATGCTAGATAAGTGGCAAGCTTCGGCGGAGAATATCATAGCTCACTTCGCTGTGATATCTCAAGGTCAGTATCCATTTACTCTAGATTGGTCGGTGGGGGAGAACAGCATCGCTGCGGGGCTGGACTCGACGTCAACGAAGTACATGGTGGACTTGGTCAAGACTTTGTCGACCATTGAATGTAAGACTTCTTCTGAGAAGCATTGAAGGCGAACGCTGATACCATATAACAGGGTCCGATTTCGAGAGAATAGACCCTGATGTAGCTCGTGTGCAACCTCTGTATTGGGTGTCTAAGATATTTCAACCTTCATTGGATCAGAAGTCAAGAGTCAAAGAGCCTCATAGCCACATGGATAGGCCAGGAATTTTATTCAGGGAAATATCTGGAAAGAGCGACACCTAGGATCTGCATATGCCCAACCGTGCCAGGACGGGAATAGAAATCATTTCGACTTGAGCTGAGAGATCTGGAAGAAGGAAAAACAAAGAATATAAAGAAATGACGCTGCATCCTGACTTGCTCAAGGGCTAAGTATATACGGGACTGGCGCAAGTGACCATGGAAACTCCTCCTCCTCGACATCGTGTTCATACATTCCCCTCACAACGGCATCAAGCGGGCCAGGCAACGGAAACTCGGACTCTTCATCCTTCAAGAACATCCGTAAGAGATGCCTGCGACATCCATTGAGATGCTCGCATTTGAACGCTTCTCTACCATGTAGAAGCGCCAGGTTATTCACGTACAGGATGTCGCCAGTCTTGAGTTCGAATGTCAGCCCGAATCTGCTTGCCAGTGCCTCCAAAACATCCAATGCTTCGATTTGCTTGTTGGTCAGTGGCTTCAGGCCGGCACGACGAGGGAAATCCGATAGGCCAATGAGTGGTCTTCGCTGGTAACTGAGGATTGTGCGGTCGTGTTCCTCGAAGAGCAACGGGCGATTGAAGCCGGTAGGGATTTTCGCAAATCTTTTCATGACATGTCAGTTATGCTGATGAGAAAGTCTTCTAAGGCCGTGGTTGATCTTACGTGTCCCATTCCCAGTCATCCTTCAAGATTCCGATCAGATCAGGGCGCTCCCGATATAAAGTTTCGAGGACCTTCTGTGCCGATGCAAGTCGTGAACGTCCGCCATTTGGGACGGAGTGAATGCTGTACAGACATAGGATATGTCCATTGTCGGTATGAAATGGCTACCCAGGTTAGTACTTGCCCTTCAGAGAACAGACAGTGACTTCCATTACCAGTGCTGAGTTCTGGTTGCTTGTACCAATCCATTTCCCACGATGTTTCTCCCGGTCCTCGTCTGAAGACAAGTCGATCACATGTGCTGAGTATACAGTCAGGATGTGTGCATAATGTTTCTCGGGTCATTTCCAGAGACTGACATAGAACTGGCCCACCAGGGAATTGGATAGCTCTCTTGTTACCAATATAACTAGAGATCCCAGCATACAACACGATATTCATATGGCTGTCATATTCACTCGGCTTCAACCCGCGCACAATGATGAATCCAAGTCCGTCACTCAGCTGCTCTCTCTCCAGTCGAATTCGCGGACCAAGTTTTGGAAGAGGGAAGGATGTCGGAGTGAGGAGACTGATCTGTCTTCTAGACGCTACGTGCAATATTAGATAATGATAAATCAGGAGTGGAGTTTGAGATTACCAATGTAATCTCTCGCAGCAAGTTCGACTTCAAGCTTCTCTTCGGCGGTCAAAACGATCAAGTACTGCCCTTCGTCAAGCTCGCTTCCAATCCAAGCCCGTGGCATCCCCTGTTCAATTTCAACAGCATGTTGGCTCAGGCGGGCTTTGAGATTTGCCAACTCTTTGTCCTTGACTGCAATGAGATCACTGTTGCAGTCGCCCAAGATCTCGCTGTCGTCGATGCGAGAGGGAGCCATTGGCTATTCTGGAACCGATACAGAAAATGAAGAAGATCCTAGTGTTTGTCAAAGATCTGTGGCAATGAGATCCTGCTGGGAGAAGTTTTCAAAAGAAGGAGATCTATAACATAGAACAACGAGAGGGCATCCGCCCACCCTGAACCTAACGCTCCTACCATCGCAAAACGTTTGAAGCAACGACAGAGCCTCAATCAATCAATACCTTTACGTCCATTGGCCAATCTCCACCCTTTCAAGCAGCCATCTTTTTCCCTACATGCGCTGATTACCCGCTGCAATCTTGGATCTTATTGGTGAGAAACATGCAGCAAGAGTGACACAAAGCATTTAGCCTGTGTTGAGACGAATCAGGAAGCAATTATACTTGCAGGTGTGACAACCTTTGGTATCCCTTGAAGTGAGCTGTCACTACCCCGCGATAGATGCATGCCATGTCCTCCGACACACACCTCGCGTTCTAATCTGAGTGATATTTCACATGCAAAACACTCTCCTCTATACAGTTTTGTAGAGCCCCTCTCGAGCCAAACGGAGCCACGAACAAGCACATGCAATTGTGAATCTACCCCTCTAGTCGGGCGTAATTGTAAGTCTGGGTTACCTACTGTCCATGCCAGCGACCCAACAACACCAATCAACACACTTGATCGATGGAGATGCAACTGAGAGAACATGCAGAACAATTACTTTACTGCACCATCAAACCTTCGGCATCTTTCTGATAGGGGAAAGACACAGTCTGCGTTCGAAACCTTGATTCAAGCACCGTCAGAAAGGTGCTAGTCCTCCTCTGCCCTATCATATTGACACCTTCACCGAGACAGAACCTCACAAGACGGTGCCCAGAGTTCTTGCTTGATGCATTTCTGCCTAACGGAATCTTCTGGACGAGTATTCGTTTCTTTTTCGATGCATGGCTGAAATTTTGGAGAAGCGCCCGGTCACAGTAGCATCCTCTAGGAAGTGCCTGTAACCTCTCAAAATAAGACCCTCTTTTTCTTGGTATAACACGAGCAGACTCCTACGGCAAGAGATTTCCTCTATTCAAACAACTCCCGGGGAAAGCATTTCGATCTCTAAAGTAGTACGTGTCCTCGTTGTTGCCATGACGCGTATTTACAAGTCATAGATCAGCACACCACCTGTCTAACGCGCTTTCAAATCTGGAACTTTGCTTGACTCAAATAGCAGTATGTACAATTACCCCATCACATTACATACTTACATCATCTCAGTACGGCAAAAACTCCATTCACGATGCCCGAAGAGAGTTCCCAAAGCGAGCGAGATATCATAGACTCCCAATGCAAGCGAAATGCAGATCAAGGCGACTGCGGAATGCCCGTCGAAGACCGCGAGTCAGATCCGAATGCCTTCGGCGATACCGTGACCAACGAAGAGTCAGGCCGCGGCCAGTCAGGTGGTTCAGTCGAGGAAGCACCATTGAAGGAGCATGATAGTGAGCAGCCTGCGGAGTGGGAGGAGGGGGAGCCGACGGAGGAATTTTATAGTAAGGGCGAAAATGAGGGGAAGCAGAAGTGGAGTAAGGATGGCGGGTATAATTAGTACTAGATGTGGATGATAGAGCAGAGTGCTAAATGTAGGGAACGGCCTAGTTAAGTTGACTATTTTTGGAGTGCGTCGAGAATGCAATTGATTATTGATGAAATTATTCTTGTCGCTTCTTACTTTGTTGACTTAATGTTGTGTGCGGATCTATGAGCAGGTACGATTGAGAATTAAACGTTTCGTCGCTGCTGTTGCAGGTACGTAACTGATCCGAGGGTTCAGCTAGGCAGAAGAGTGGCCACGTCATTGCGAGGCATTTTTCGATTGCTGAGGTCGTAATGCGTGGAGCACTACCTAGGGAGAGCCTGCGACACGGCTCAGAGGAGGGCGCCGTCACCGAAGAAGGGGGATCGAGGCCCAGAGTGGGAAATCGAGGGGTGATAGCTTCCCAACCGGTCGCACCGCCAGGACTCTCAGTCTCAGTCTCAGCTTCGGGGGCGGCCACGCCGACACTGGTGCACGAGGGCGGGTTTGAGCGAGAGGCGTCGACGGCGCATGATGCGAGGAGGAGCTGCCGGAGGGGTCGGCGTAAGTTTGTTGGCAGCGAGGAGTGAAGGCGGATGAAGGTCGAGGAGGGATGGGCGAGGTTTCTTATACCTCGCGAAAGCGGCGCCGGGCTCGTGTATGCGCCTTGCCAGATGCCGCGGTCACTAAACCTGAGGTGGCCAATACCATGCTGCAGATGAATCACTGTTCTGAAATCAGGCCTAACCATGCGCAGACGTGGCCTTCAACTCACCCAGACCTCCGGCCTTTCTTTGCATTCTTTGACGTCCCTGAACGAGGCTTCAACTTGGTACTGTAATGCACCTGCAATGTTCCCTTGCTCCTCTTGGGGAAGCGGTCTGAAATCTCATCCCATGATAAAACCCTCTCCTTTTAGTTGCCGTAGAAGTTCGTCATTATCGTACGAAAATCGCGAATTCCTGGCGGGCCTGCTTATAGCCCGCTCTTGCACAGGCAACCGTTCCGAGTCTCTCCTGTCCCTGCTACTAGAGACGCTCCTGGGAATGCCTTGTCTCTGCGATATTCTACTAGGTTCCGGTAAAAGTTCTTGAGAAAATGTGAGACAGTACACGACTTTCGATTCGATGGTCTTTAGTATCAAGTATCCATGGATGGGGATCTGTTCGCTCTGTTCGCTCTCCTGCATATTTACAGACGAGGTGGCTATAGTCGCTTGATATAACACGTTGGGGGAATGGGTAGAAGGGGTTTCTACATCGTTGTGTTCCATGTCTTTCGCTCGCTTGACCCGTTTCCGAGACCGTGGTGGGCGTCGTGTCTCGGAAGCTGCTGTATCGCTCATATCATCATAATATTCGTCGTTAGAATCGTCGGTGCCTCCATCGTCAACCATTCTTTGGTCAATGTCGCGGACCTCTTGTTCCTTGGCCGGAGCTACCAGTAGAGCGGCTAACTAGGTATATTCGAAATCGTTAGATTCGAGGGCGGCAGAAATAGGGCTAGTAGTACTAGGTGGCTGGGTGAGAGATGGCATGCGTATTCGCCTGCGGCGGACAACTTTGGTATCATCTCGTCGGCGACGATGCCTCGGCAGAAGGTCGTTCGTCGAATCTGACTAGTGGTGAGACGCTGCTACTAGGTATAGCTGTAGGGGTTGAGTGGAATCGTACTGACCATCTTATAGCACAGGAAGGGAAATATTGCTATCGGAGGCTGGATTTTCGCTAGAGATAGCAGACGACCCTAATGTCTTCGTAGAGTAGGTATCGGCACCGTCTTCATTATCGGACAAGACATCAATATCCTCCTCTTCCGCCCCCTTAGTAACATCGAGGCCACCATAGCTTGCACTCCCTTGTATCATCTCGGTATTGACCCGTTTGGGGCTAGCTTGGTGTGTAACGGACCCTTGGCCAGGGGAGGCTGACCTTGGAAGGCTAGCAGCAAGCTGGAGTCTTGCGCCATCGGCTAGACCGCTGTTACTATCGTTACTATTATCTTGATGGTCGGCGATAAGACGATTAGAAATATATACGGTTCCGGAGTCGAAGCCCTCACCGTCCACCATATCGCAATCTGTAATGTATGGAGAAGAGAAATCGCTTTTAGCTATAAGGTCGACTTCAAGATTGCTATAGTCGGTTTCCGACTCGGCGCTTACAGATTCGTCGTTACTGAGGATAATGGGATCTAGTATTCTGTAAGTATGAAGTCCTGGCCGAACTGGGAGACGTAGTATACTCACCTCGACTACTTTCTGCCGTAGAGCGACTAGAACTAGTAGGACTGCCACCTCGAGTACTATTGTCAACTATGTCTACCGCTATTCCACCGTAGCCCGGATCTATACTTGTTCGTTCCTTCTATTGGACGCCGGACAGGAGCTCGTCGATATCAATAAAGCCGTTACGGTCATTACCGTTTAGGTCCTCGCTTGCTAGTATACTCTTTCGCCATATGTCCAATAAGAGCTCCTTTACGTCCGGGAAGTCATTATTGTTATTGATATTACTGCGATTCGGAAGATTTCGTGAGGCTGTAAAGTCTTCTCTATACTATTAGAAGTTGCGATCCCTACGGTAAATTACGGTACATACCTGGTTTATTATTTCTATAGTACGGATCTGAAGTATACGTTTTCTTGCTCACGAGTATAGCGGTTTTATAGGCGGGAAGAGATGTAATAGTTCCCGGAGGGAGATATAAAGCCGTAATTATTCCCGGAAAACGAAGAGACTGGCTCCTTAAGGCCAAGGGGGGTTAGTAAAATACAATGTCGTCTATTATATATAAAGGATCGAGTGCTCGATTTTGCTCAGAAAGGTAGACTCTGAGAAAGAAACTCCTGGGTTTATATGGGAAATACTTTTGTGAGTCTCTATCCTCACTTATAGCGAACATAACATAGTCTATAAATATCTGAGCCAGGAAGGAACCGCATGCTACTGCCTGTATTTCCATCTCGTAAAAAAAAAAATAAACCCATAGCCCCTTATTACCGAATGTCCTCCAATTAAGCTACTCTCCCCCTCTTGTAAACCCTTGCATATCTCGCATAATCTCACCTATAATAATACCGAGAAGACTAAAATACTACCTATACTACTTCGTATATAAGAACCTTCTTAATATAAGGCATACCAAACCCGCAAGAGATGCGATTACCGTTTCCTTACCCTGCCTCAGACCACAGCTGCTACGTAATTCTCGGCAGAGCAAGATAGAAGCTAGCTACATCATCGTAAGGGATTTCTTGGATTAGTTAGATAACGTCGTATAGAGGATTTTCTGAAATTAGGCCTCTACTATCAGGGTTGACCGAGGAGCCCCTATCGGAAGGATTATATTAGTGCGACGGTCAGGAGCTATACTAGATTTGATACTCGTATCTCGGCCAATACAGTATAATCGAGGAGTGATCGCCGGTATAACAATCAAGGAAATCGAGTACAGAGTAGCAGATCGGGGACTTGGACTTCGAACAGTCTGTATTATAAGGGGATTCAGCTGCAGCAATACCGATAATAATGTATTACCAGTATATGGCGAGAGTAGAACGACGAGCGAGCAGTGGAATTGGCGGACCCGGTATCTTTCCTATTGGCGGGCTAAGTGGCAGAGGAAAGCTCAGCTCCGTTACTTGTTTACGGCCAGGCAGATTATATGCAAGCGCTACAGGCGGACTCTCTGATATCCGGTCTCAGGATCGAAAGGCATTTTCGCCACTGGGGCACACCCTTACGGCGATAATCAGGATCAGGCGGAGGGCTCGTATAGAGAGGAGAGGTAATATACCTCGAAGGCAGATAATAGGGGAAATTCGGACTCGGCGGGTTTTGAAGGTCATGTATAGATAAGGGGATTTGCAAGGTCGACGCTTTCCTGTAGTACTGCTTCGTCGGCCGGCTGAGCCATTACTTGAATTCGTACCATCCGTAGATGGGTCGAGCGGGGCGATCGTCGTACTGAGGGAGGAGGATTGGACCAGGTGGGTTAGTAGGCAGGAAAGGAGGCGGCAGGGAAGTATGGCCGAGAATGAGACTGCAACGAGGCAGGAGGCAGATTGCTGGTTACACGGGACAAGGGAGAAGGGAGTCGAAGTGGGAGCGTGAAGATAGTAAAGATGGAAGAGTTGAGACGGACGCCGATGGGGAGATGGTGCGGTTCTTATACGACGTTGGCAAAGCAGCGCCGCCCCGAAGCGAGCACGCCTTGCCTGAAGTGGTGGCGCTAAACCTGGATAGTAGCACGCCATCCCGCATGCAGCCCCGCCAAACCAGATCGAGGCGCGACCCCCGTTTTCCGCGCCCCGCTAACCGTCTCATCTTATACTGGAATAGAAATTGGGAGACTTGCATTAATAGTCGGACAGAAACGGAGTTTGGGAATTGTATTTTATTATGGCTTATTTGCGCTCGGAAAACGTGGCATTGTAGATTAGCTTTGGTATTATAGGGGCACGATATATATAAAAGGGAGTAGAAAACTTGGGGAGCCTCAGGCAACCATGGAACCCTGTACATATTCCTTGGGGCACACCTCACCAATTCTACATCTTCTTCTTCCCGAACCTTTTCTACCAGAGCATGTGACTAACAATTTCATGCCTTAGGCATAAAATAATGGTCTTAGTGCCTGAGGCAGCTACGGCACAGAACCCCTCATGACTAACCTGATGGCGCTACATTGTGTGGCTTTGCAAATATGCTGGGCACACTACAAGTTTTCAAATCCCCCGCCGACTCAACCCTTTATCTCCTTTGAGTTTTATTTCGGGAATGGTGCCAAGCCATGGCGGACTATACCCTCCAGGAGGACTACCGGAGTCGCTTTAAAGACTTTCAAACAGTCGAGATCCGTCGCGAGGCTCTGGTTCAGGCAAGGTCCTTATACTGTGACTGATCGCCAAACTAGCTCACAATACGCTACAGGAGGTTCTCGAAACCTTAGATATAGTCAAAGCACAGCTTGGTAATGTGACCAAAGAACGGGCGAGGGAGGTTGCAGTCCTTGAGGCCGATCTGGAGAGCGAGAGAGATGCCCGGCGCGGTTGGCAAGACAAGGCTACGACTTTACGCGAGCGGCTGTCGTCATTGGTACCATATCTTCCTAACAGGGTCTGTTCTCGGCGATTGATTTGTTGCCTATAGGAACAAGCGCGGTTTGTGGTTGTGTTAGTTGACGCGGATGCTGATATTTATCTTGTATGTCGAACTTCCCAGCTAAGGACTAGCTGACATTCGTCGATGCAGTTTCAAGAAAAGTATTTATCTTGCGGTATGCAAGGTGGTCAATCTGCCGCAGATGACTTCATGACCAAAGTTAGGGAGTATCTGGTGTCCCTTGGTCCTGCCATTAAGGACGCCAAGACAATTCCGGTGATTGTCAAAGCGTATGCCAATTTAAGCGGACTTGCTCAAGCGTGTATGCGAGATAAGAAGGTTGGCTCCGTGGGAGACATGAGACAATTTTGGTGCGGTTTTACGAGACGATATCCTCTGGTTGACTTCGTGGATGTTGGTGCTGGGAAGGAAGAGGCCGATAACAAGCTACGAGGTACGCCTCACCCAAACCTAATACAGGATACTGTTGACCGAGATTGGCCTATAGAAGTTCTAGCGTTTCATATTGTCAATCCTCAATGTGAGCATGTACTGCTCGCCTGTTGCCACGACGCGGGATACGTACCCGTTCTCAGGCAGTACGCGGCCCAAGCAACACTTTTTGAACGCATAACGTTGCTCTCGGCCGGGGTGGTCCGACCAGATATAGGCGATCTGGGGTTTCGGACAACACGTATCTTCGACTCATTGTTCGGCCACAGTGGATCCCCTAGAGTAACACCAACCGCTACAAATGGGAAGAATGCCCAAATGCCGCCAGTTACCGTGCAGCAAATAGTAGACCTTTTCACTAGGACACCTTCCCGCCCTCAGGAGAACCTAGTGAGCAACCCAGTGAGCAACCCAGTGAGCAATTCGGGAAGGTTACGACCAATAATCCGTAACAATTCTGGGAAGCGCATTGATAAGAAATTGAGTGTTGAGGAGAGTCTCATTCAAGCAATGAAGAAACGCAATTTGTGCAGTTGGCATTATCTGCGTGCCGACTGTTTGGCGAGTTCGTGCAAACGGAATCACTCGTACCCGAGACCGTTGAGTCCGGTCGAGTATGACGCTCAGTGGTGTATTGCCAGGCATGGTTTGTGTTATCGCCTGCGCAGAGGTAATAATTGTGATGATGCCCAGTGTATGTACGGCCACGGTCCTAGTTGAGCTATTGAATTGGCTTGTTGGGACCTGGAAACGTGGCACCTTTGTATCATAGCACGGGCTCAACAAACGTTATCGTGGAAGGCGCCAGTGGGTGGGCACTAGGAAGGAATGGAATCTGATATTCGATCCACCCATGATAACTTCCGATATTGCTACTCCATCTAAAGATCTCCCATCTTGCCTCGGTCTCCTGACCTAGCGCTTGAACAATAATGCCCCCAGCTTCCCTTGTTCGCAAATCTCATATGGAAGCTCAAGATACTCGTTAGATGGAATTATAAACAGAGAGGCCAGAGGTAGACTCGCCATTACTCAAGCATTACGGCGCCAAATCACCTGTAAAACTAATATACTGAAGAAGGCCCAAATTCATCCAAAGCCTTCCTTTCCGCCATCTGCACATCATCTTCCCCATTGCCATTATTCAAGTACAGCCGCGGGAGGTATTTTCGAATTTTTACGCATGATTAGGTCATAGAGTTTGAGGAATATAGGCCCGCGTTCACCATCCAATTGCACTCTCATGACAAGAGGCAGAGTGACATGTTCTAATGGTTCGATTATTTTAGCTGCGACGGTTGCGTTTGATGGCTTGGAAGGGAGATTTGATTCGAAGTTCCAAGGAATTCCGCTCCTTGTACGAGTATGGCTAGCTGTCCCGTAGTTAATTCTCAGCCGAGTCAGACGGTTCAACCAGGACGCGCCCTTCGTGAAGTTGGCTTGGTGTCGATAATAAAGACGTCCCAGAATCGAAGCAGCGAGGAGTGTGTTGTACAAGCTATGGTGATGAAGTTGATTTCACTCCGCCCAGGTACCAGCTACGCTTAACGAGGTAACTCGTAACTTGTGCAAGTGCAGCTAAACGGAGAAAAGTAATACCGAGGTGAAGATCTGGAAGGTTTGTGTTTTGCACAAAGGTCCGATACAAAGGACTACTACCAATCAAATTTCTTTTTCTGCTATGCCTTGCGAGGCGTGCAGCTGGACGCCTGAACGTCAATATCGTTGCCGTTACCATAGCTACATCAAGCTTTTCTATGGAGTCAGTAATCGAGGGGTGTAGTCTCCGGGTTCCCGGTTTGTCCTCAAAGAACGATCCAGTAACCCACCGAATTTCGAAGCCAGCAATATCCGATTCCTAAACGAAAAGACTCGATTCTAGTTCCCACTATCGTTGAGGATTGGAACGAAGATAATAATCGCTATTTCATGCTCACAAAGCGCATCCATGGCGAATCTCTCGATGCTGCGTTGCCAACTTTGTCCACAGTCGATAAAGAACGCATCGCGAAGCAAACGGCCGAATGCCTTCCGAGCTTCGCAAACTCCATTCACCACATATGCAGAGTATCGATGGACAATTAATATATTAGCTAGATATCCGCAATTCATGCTCTGCAGAATCATGGCAGTGAACAGTAAAGTGTATTTAGTATGCAAAAATTAGATAACAATACTGGGAAAATGGTAAGGAATAGAAGAATCAAGCTTGTAATCAATATGGGTGATGAAAAGTATTAGGAACACTTCACCGCTACTTCATAGTTTATGTACTAAGCATTCCCGACTGGCAGGTTCTATTCGCAAGGGGAGGCCGCCCTTCGTGAAGGGGAATATTCGTGGTTGGACTAGAACAGATAATTGCAGTCGGACGGGCGCGGCTACCGAGGCCCTCAACCCCTGTACTGCCAAAACCCCGATTTTTCATGACATTCCAGCTGGACAGGGTATTAAGCTAGTGCACAGCCCCATGGCGTTCGGTTCCAGGGCTTACTAAGCCTATTAGGGGCCTCAGGCCCCTAATTTCAACACGGTGCCCCGCAACCGCGTGTTATCGTCCTGTGGGTCAGCGAAGTATCTCGTTCACAGTATCTCGTTCACTTCGCCAACAAAGCAGCGAGTTTCGGATGGAGGCCTACAACTATCGGCCCCTAGACGTGAGCAGATGTCAATTACGGCTATTAAAAGTTGATAGAAGCTTGACCGCAACGTCAATAGTGCAATGCCATCTCGAGAATTTCGATCTCAACAATGCGCCGCGCTACACGGCACTTTCATACCGATGGTCATACTCGGAACCCGCTGACGCACGGCCGAAACTCGAGGCGATGGAAGAGGAGCAATTCCCACTGATTGTTGATGGAAAACTGCTACATGTCAGTGAGAACCTGGCGGACTTCCTCGAAGTCTTCCACGGTGATGCCAGGAACAAACCCAATTGGCTTTGGATCGATCAGATAAGCATTAACCAGAAGAATACGGTCGAGCGCAATCAGCAAGTCGGATTGATGTCCGACATCTACAGCCGGTGCCTATCTCTCATTATTTGGCTGGGAAAGGCATCGGCGCCAGCAGCGCAACTGTTTTGGAAAGACAGTGCTGCCAGGTTGTTACAAAACTCCTACTTTACTAGGATGTGGATCGTGCAGGAGATTTTGCTTGCTAAGAATATCGAGGTCTTAGGCGGTACCACATGGATCGACTGGAGGAACTTTGCAAGTGTGCCCCTCACAGTGTCGTCCGGCATACCCCTAGCGACATGTAGCCTTCTTGATCGAGCACAAAGCTATTTGCGTGGCTCTACCGGCCTGGGAGCGCTGCTAATCGACTTTGGCATGAACCAATACACTGATCCTCGAGATCGCGTGTACGGACTATTGGGGCTCGTCAGAAAAGAGCAGCGCCCCGAGATCGATTACTCGAAGACGTTGTGGGAGGTGTTTCTCGATACCATATTGATCCTGTGCAACGCACGGTACGACCATCATTTCAACTGTGTACTGGCACTTTCAGGACTGGCCATGTCTTTCAGTATCGCAGACTGCCCGCAGCACCTGGACCCCGCAGAGCTAACGAAGCCCTTTGATCTGTCGGCACTCCTGCTTGAAATGCGACACGTAGCCGATGGCGGTGCGTACAATAACAGGGAAATACCTCCCGGCCCGAAGAAGATGGTCGCGATTGGAATACACGACGGACAGTGGTGGTTTGAGTTCCTTGACAAAGAGGAAAATAAGATGAGGATATACGCCGAAGCCCAAACAAGGGTGCCATCTGAGCTCGCGAACAAGCTGGGCTGGTTCAATAAGTACAGATAATGTACGAGTCATTTACAAAGCGAATCGTTGACTTCCCGCTTGCAGCGAGTAAAGGGAGATGACAGGTCCCCACGATGCAAATAGGATACTCACAACATGGCTGTCTGCTATGATTGGATTTCTTTCGCAGCGTTTTCAAAGAGTTCGGGAGGGTGAAAATCATCGAACGGCTTGATAACAGCGTCACGGCTGCCAACAACGATGCACAAATGAGTTGAAACGAATGCCCACGTCCTAATTGAAGCTTGGCGCTGGTTGGCTGAGCCGCTGAGGTTTGCAGAGGGTAAGCTTATGACACAGGAGAAGGATGATCTAAGGGGTCGAGGAATTCAGAGGTTAGACTAGGACTAGCCTGACCAGTATGGCCAACTTGGCTTCGACATACCGGAACCAGGGCTGCTATAATGAGAGCCTGGAACTAGTGGTTACATGTGTCTATTTGCGGGAGAAAGTACTTGGCATAGGCCACCCTTATACTGTCTCTTCTCTCACAACATTAGGTACGTGGCAGGCAGAGCAAGCAACAGTGTGTCAAATAATTTAATTAATTATAATTATTGGCCGGTAATCAAATTAAATTAAGTCAGAATCGTAGTAATCAAATTATAATTAATTATTTGCTTAATTTAATTAAATATAATTAATTGCTGGGTCACGTGTTATTATACGTAACTATAATAATAATATAAATATTATAGTACAAAAGTAAAGCGTATTTTACCCTAATTTAGATATCGCCTTATTATTATAGGCTTAATAGCTAGTATCCCGCCTTTACTCGCTTTATGTGATGTGTGCAGGGTCGCACGTGACTTAAGGGCATGTAACGAACCTCGGATATCGCGGGTGTTAATTAGGGAGATTAGAGGCCCTTTGACTTCATAACCAACTACTATTTATATTATAAGTATTAGGCTTACAAATCACTAATTATATATATGTTATCGGGGCCTCCTATTTAGAGGGGGCTTCCCTGGACCTTATAGGAGGAATAGAGATTAGTTCTATACTGAATTTAATACTATGGTTTTATAACTTACTAATTCATTCTATTATCTTATTACCTACTAATAAATATCTTATAAGCTAATCTCTCTACCCTTAAAGAAGGTAGTTTAATAAGTAATTATATCTCGAAATCTGCAAAATATATAACTCTTTACTAAAGCTATTCCTATAAAGGAAATTAACCAGATTAACCCTAATACGGGTAATAGTAAAGGCTTGTCTAATACTTTTAATAGGGCTCCTTAGGAGCCTTCGAGAGCCAGTAATAATAACAGAAATAATCCCGGTAATAATTAAGATACCGAGATTAATACCTAAATTACTACTACTCAAGCTACGGAATAGGGCTTATATACTAAAGTTAAAGCACTTTAATAAAAGCAAGAATTAGTAAATATAATTAACTAATATATCCTATAGTTAGAATAATATAAAAGTACTCTTAGGAATACCTTATAGTTTATTATATCTTATAAAAATTCTATTTATAAGTTCATTCTATTTTCCTTAGTAATTCTTACTAGAGAACTTCCTGAAATGGAATTAGAACTTATTTCCTTTCCTAATATAATAAGCTTTAAAAATAATCTCAATATTATTTATTAGAAGCTATTATATAATATCCTAAAGATATATTTAGACTAAGAAAAGCTTTTTAAGGTCCAAATACCTGACTTATATTATAGAAAGTTTCTTAAAAAATAGAGAATATTTATATTTTTCTAGGAAATAGTTTTTAGGACCTAATCTTAGACTTATAATAAATACTTTTCTAAAGTTAACTTTACTATAAGTACTCTTAGAAATAAATCTTATAATATTTAAAAGGCTATAATAAAATAAAGCCTATTATTATATAAGGTTTATTAGAAGTAATTTAAGGCCTACTTAGCTAATATATTCTAAGTACCTTAAATCCGTTAATAAGATACCTTTAAGAAACTCTAAGATTTTTATTAGAAAGATAATAAGATAGTTATTAAGTTATATATTCGGATAATTAGTTTTAAAGTTAACTAGAACTTATATCCTAAAAGAAACCGGGTCCGGACTCTTAATACTACTTTATTTAATTATAAGACTTATTAAATACTTATATTTATTCTTTTAGGAAATAAGATAATATCTATTTCCAAATAACTTAAAAAAGCTCAAAAAACAAAATATATTACTTATCCTAAATTAAGAAAAGTAAAGATAAAGAAATCTAGTAAAAGTAACTCTATTCCTAAAGATTCTAACTTAGTAAATTCTAATTTATAAGGCTATTAAAAAAGAAAGAATAAGTTCTAAAGATTATATAAGAAATCCTTAGATAATACTTTGGCCTTTTTAAGGCCTTAATAAAATACTAGTTCTATTTTAGGTATAGTTTATTAGACTTATAAATAGAAAAAATACTTCTTAGGAAATATAAAATATTCTAAATATACTAAATAGGCTTAATAGAACCCTAATAAGGCCAAAACTATAGAAGAATTAAAATATTTATAAAAGCAAATTAATACTATAATTATAGAGAAATACTTTAGAAAAGACTTTTTTAAGAAATAAGAAAAAGAAAAGGCTAAATCTTAAATATTAATAATTTTAGCTATAATAAAAAAGATATATTATTTTATATAACTATTTAAATAAGATTAATATAGCCAGAAATAGATATCTTAGAGATATATAATAGATTTAGTAATACCGGATTAGATTATAACTTCCTTAATAATAATTAGGCTTAAAGCCGGGGCTTTATTACCTTAGCTAAATATAATTAAGAATTTATAACTTTTTATAAGAACTAATTTAAGATCTATTAAGCCTATAATCTTAAGGTATTTATTATAAATAATTATAATAAGATATATTCTTTTAAGCTCTAGTTCTATAAATATAAAAATATTAGCTCTTATAGCCTTATTTTTAGTATAGAATTTTATAAAGTAATTCTTATATAATATATAGACTATATTAAGAAATAATAGATATATATACTTATATAGCCTAATAATATTAAGATCCTAATACTAAAAGAATTTAATAAGGAGTTTAACTAGTACCCTAAACTAGTACCTCAAGTCTTATTCTTAACTAAAGGCAAATATAACTATTCTAAATAGTAGACTTTATATATTTATAATAATTACTAGATCTCTACTTTATTATATAGTTCTAGTAATACTAAATAGGAGTTTTTAATATAATAAATTAATACTTTCCGGAAAAAGGCCTTAGAAATACTTATTTATTTCCGAAATAATAAATATAAAGACTTTTTAGAGGTTTTTAATTCTAATAAAGCTTTGAAACTTCCTAATCTTAGTAATATTAAATACTCTATTAATATAAATAATATAGTCCCGTATAGGCCTTTATATAATTTATTAGAAACCTAACTAGAAGTATTATATCTATATTTATAAGATATATTTTATAAATATTAGATAAGACCTAGTAAAAGCCTAATAAAAATACTTATTTTTTTTATTTCTAAGAAAAATAGAAAACTATATCTTTATATTAATTATTATAAACTTAACTAAGTTATAATTAAGAATTAGTATTTACTTTCTTTTATTAATAAGATCCTTAACTAATTCTAAGAAACTAAGATTTTTATAAAGCTAAATCTTAAAAATATATATTATTAGATAAGAATTTATAAAGAATATAAATAGAAAATAGCTTTTAGAACCTACTATAACTATTTTAAATATCTTATAATACTTTTTAGACTAGCTAATATACTAGTTATATTTTAAATATATATTAATATTATATTTATAAAACTTCTAGATTATTTTATAGTTATTTATTTAGATAATATTTTTATTTACTTCTAAAATAAGAATAAATACTATAATTATATTTACTAGATATTTACTAGGCTATATAAAAATAACTTATTTTATAAACTTAGTAAATACGAGTTTAATATTAAGGAAGTTAAATTTTTGGGCTTTTTTATTAGAATAGAAGATATTTATATAAATCCTAAATAGGTTTATAATATTATTAAATAGCTAGAACTAGAATTATTTTATAATATTTAAGTATTTCTTGGATTTATTAATTTCTATTATAGGTTTATTTACTATTATTTTCAGGTAACTATAGGCTTAATAAACCTTTTAAAAAGAATAGAAAAGGGCCAGAAATCCGGTTCCTTTATATAGATAAATAAAGTAGCTAAAAGCTTTAAAACTTTAAAAAAAGCTTTTATTATAATACCTATTCTAGTTTATTTTAATTCTTTTAAGAAAATTCATATTAAAACTAATATATTAAAATTCGTAATTACTAGTATTATTTTATAATAAGTTAATTCTAGTAATAGCCCGAAAAAATACTAGTATTTAATAGTATTCTAATTTCGGAAATTTTCTGGAACCAAATATAATTATAGTACCTATAATAAAAAGCTACTTATAATTATTAAAGCCTTTAAATATTAGTACTATTATCTTAAAGGATTTAGGTTTATAATTAAGGTTATTATAGACTATAATAATCTCTAATACTTTATAGAAATAAAGTATCTAGAAAGCTATTAAGTATATTAGGTAATATATAATTTTAATATTATTTATTATAGAAATACCTTAAACCTAGTAAATAAATCTAGTAAAAGATCTAATTATAAAAAAGGTTCTATTAATATAACTTGGCTTCTAATCTTTTAGAATAAGCTAAAGAAAGCTTTTATAATTGTGATTTAGAGGTTCTTATAGATATCTAAAGAGTTCTCTTTTTAAAATAGATATTATTTAATACTTATTATATCTATAATAATTAAAAAGAAATATTTATTATAAAATAAGTAAATAAATTATTTTATAGATTCTTTAACTATAGAATTAGTTAAGAAGCAAGATATAGGGAAATACTTTAAAGGCTTTACTATTATAACTAAAGTAATAGGGGTATTTATAACTATATTACTTAATAAAACTAAAGACTTCTTAGTTTCCCGAGTTTTTAAATTAGATAATTATAAATACCTAATTCCCTATATATAAATATATATAGTTACTAAAAGAGCTATAGTACTAGTTCCTTTATCTAAATTCTTTCTAGATATTATTTAGGTAATTTAGAAAAATAATTCTTAATATTAGAATATTATAAAATAGAGGCTTAATAAGAAAAATATTAAAAGAAAAGAAATCTGGAAAAATAATTCGGGCTTATTTAGGTATTATTTAAGAATTATTATATCTAATAATTCTACTTTATATTAAATTATAAAGCTTTATTATAATAACCTAATAGCTAGATACTATAGAATAGAAAAGATTCTCGAGCTCCTTAAAAGGTTCTAGTATTAGAAGAATATAAAAAAAGATATTTATAATTATTATTAAAAATATAATATTTACTAAAAAGTTAAGATAAAGAAATATTTATTATATAATTTACTTAGTAATTTACTATAGCCTAAAAGACCCTAGAATAAGATCTTTATAGATTTTATTATAGGTCTACTACTATATAAGAATCCGGTAAAAGGTTCTAATTTTAATATAATTCTTATAATTATTAACTAATACTCTAAAATAGTAAGATA